AAGGAACACTTCCTCAAAATAGTCTTTGTAATAAACTGCTAGCACTGGTCTATTTAACCTCATGACCTTCAATTACAATTCTCAAACTTGCCAGGCCGTGCAGTCATACAAACATCCAGCTCAGCTTCAACCATAAACAAGTCCTGTCCCTGTTTTGCAATGTTCTAGAACGGTCCCGGGAACAGCTTCCTCAAGAAATGTTATTATAAAAAAAACCAAAGGGCAGACTTTTGCTTACAAAGATGTTAAAACACACCAAGTCTTTGCACATGTTATAAATGCCAAGTGGCCGACATGCTATAAAGATTCAGTTATTCTTTTTTAATTAAAACCCAAACCAAAATTGATCCTTGAATACCGAGGGAGTTAAATAAAATCAGACAGTCAAAATGAAATAGAGTCCCTTCCTTTTGCTATTTATCAAGTAAATTAGCAAAGCTATCACATATCACCTTTTTCCAGCAGCAATAAATAAAGGATAAAATCCTATCCGAATACAATATTATGAATGCCTCCTGAGGCATCATATTCCAGAGCAAGCTGCAATGCCAAGAAGGAACGGCCAAATTCCAAAATAGACTCCAGACATGGGAGTAACACTAGTTTTCTTTGCCAGTACACAAAGACAGGTAGAACAATAAGTAGCAAAGTGCAGCTTTGCGTTGAGGGTCTACAGTCATTCCCAACCAAGATCCAGAATGACAGAGCTAATGGAATTTATTCCAAGATTACTGCGACATAGCGAAATGTGGCTCAGAGTTTAAAAACACAAACAGCATACAGCATGTTGATCAATGCATTATACAGACTAACACCACTGCAAACCAAGTGGAACAAGGAGATTGTAGTTGTCATTCCTCCCCTGCCCCAGGGTCAATTTATCTACATTCAGTATCACTGAAACCACTGTTGACACTGGTATTCACCCAATTCCACGTACAAAATGCTGCTAGCTTTAACAGTACAAAGGGAAAGATGAACAGCAGCAGCCAGGGCCTAATTTTTTGAAGATGCTCAATAACCACCAGTCCCGCCAGTCTGGAAGCACTCAGTCCCTTTGTAGGAAACCAAACTTTTGGGCCAGATCTTGAGATGCATGAAACAGTTCTGACTCTTGGACATAAAGGACATGGGGTGGGAGATGGAAGCAGAGGTGGTGATGGTAGGTACATGGCTCTCTTCTTCTGTTCTATGCAATATTCCCAAGGAAAGTCCCTTGGCTTCCTCACCCAATTCAATCTCATTTTATTTGGGAGGATTAGGCAGGCAAAATAAATAAATAAATTTAAAAAAAAAGAAAAGGTGGAATGAAAAGCTGCAGGTTGCTCCATACCCTTAATCTTCCTGGTTCCACTCACGTGCTTGTGCATTGGTCTTATGACACTTAAGGGCAGAAAGATACTTCCTAGTTCCTCAACAGTTAGGAAGTAGAATGAGAAGAGTTCCCATCCAACCCCCCTAAGAAAGTCCCAGATTGAAACATTTAGAGAGCAAGCTGGTCAGCTAGTTTGGGGTTTGTGGAAAGACTACTGGCCCCTCAAACACAGCTACACAGGGGTAAGCGTTAATGGCCAATGAAGGAAAAGGAACTTGTAGTGTGGTACAGGGATAAAAAGTATTCTTCTCCCCCCACCCAAGAGTTGTCAAAACACAAGTCACTATGCGGCACTGAGCATCGTATGTCAGATCCTGAGCTAAGGTAAGTTTGCACAACTCTGACTCCCCTGGCTGAATATTTGGCTTCTAGCATCTGCAACAGAAGTTTATTGCAATGAAAACCTGCCCCCTCACCTCATCACACACACACACACTCTCTCACTCTCTTCATATGCCAACTTCCAGCCTGGAATGAAACTGATAGTCAGATAAATTACTGCAACTCACAATAAAGACACCAACAGATCTACAAACAGATGCTACAACAAATCCAGGATTCCTAAAACTAGGTCCAATAGAAATTTTAACACACAAATCTGAGAAAGTACATTAGCTAGCCACGAGTTGTCTAGATCACATGGTTCAAGAAGATCTGTCCTCAGGCATCTGGGATCAGGTTCAAACACTTTATGATCTGAAGCAGGGTTACAGCAAGACTGCCTCATCTCTTGCAAAATATTATGAAACACTGTAAGGTAAATCCTTGTGAAGGGAGGAAAGTCTGCACAAGCTCACTGTCATCTACCAAAAACATTTCAGAAAACAGGCAACAGCTTTAGTGTTTGCCTTGCTGTCTAAAAGGTGCGATATCAGCTCACGTTACAGATGCACACGGAGCATACCTTTATGCAGTCTCCATTTTTAAACTGCCCCACAGCTACTTCAGGGTTAATATGTGGGGTCTAAGCTCAAACTATTTTCCAAGCTTCTTGGTTACTAATGGAGCTGAAGAGTGAAGGCTTTAACTTCACACCTAAACAGTGGATGGGAAGATGCAAGTCATTAGCCAGCAAGAACCCATTTCAGGGTGATAGCCCCAATAGTGTGAGATGTATACTAAGTTACAACAGAAACTGTATCATGACAAGGTGAGTGTAGGTAAAGAAGCGTCTTCCCCTTTGAAAGCCAAGAAGCCACTGGATTGTGTGCGATGCATTTCTGTAGAAAACACTGTTTGCCAAGGTGTTACCTATAAACTGCAAAAAACCGCAATATTTTCAAGCCACTCCTGGCTCAAAAACAAGTTGTCAGTGCTCCTGTGAGATGCATGAGCTTAGCAAAAAGATTTTTAGGTTTTACCCAAACAAGGACATACTTAGTAGCAAGATCCAGGAGACAGAAGTAGGAACCTTGGGTAGGCTTTTGAATGCTGAGTTTTTCATGAGTTTTACAAAAAGCAAGCAAAGCAGATATGCTAGAGGCTCTATATGAACAGCTGAGCTGTTAACAGGGGAGTTCCCAGTGCACTCAAAAGCTGTAGTGTTTAGTAGTCCACAATGCTTATAATGAAGTTTCCAGGATACAAAGAGAAGCATTTTAAACTTCTCCCTGGCCACCTGTACCTTCTCTCCCTACTCCAGTTGTGAAGTGGCACTTGGAAAGCATTTGCATTTGGCAGTATGCTATTGATCAAATGTGTGGGACTAATGGAGTTGTACCTCTCCAGCCATGGGAAAAGGGGGGGGGGGGCTTAGTGTGCAACAGTAAGGGCATGTTCTGTGTGATGGACTGCTCATCTAAGTGCTCTGGAGCATCTCCCTGCTTCGTTAAGGACTATCAAACAAAACCCAAGAGGCAATTCTGTGTCCAAGCAGGACATCTCATAAACAAACCATGCATGTGGTGTTTTAAGAGCTAAGAGATGTAAGTGAAAAGTTTGTATTAGCCAAGTCAGTTTTATATATTTGCAGCGTAAGATTAGATTTAAATGGTCTTACCTGCCAAGCTGCTAGCCAGCTTAAGATTCATTTTTCCAGGTTATGCTGTGTTCTTAAAACTACTGATCAAGTCTTACAGCTTGGATGCAAGGCAAGTCAAAGAAACAAGAATGACTACCAACTTTAGTCTGAGAGGCTGCTGCCTCTGCCAGTCTGTGATAGTGGATGATGAGAAGAATCTAAAAATGCCACAATTTGTTCTGCTTGTGTCTTTACACTGCTATACAGAAACATCCTGAAAATAAATTGACCATGAGTAAAACTTCACTGGGCCAGCTACTTCATGGATGGCTCATCAGTTCAGAATGAAACCCCAACAGGAACCAAAATCACTTTTGGAGTTTAATATTAAATTTACATGTACCCTCTGCCCCTCAACTACAGTTCTTTGATTCCTGCCCTACACAGTGGTACAGTGTGGTTAAAAGCATTAGACACCAGAGATGTGCTACAGATCTGGTCACTGTACTATTGTTTTTCCACTTGCACAGAAGCTTCAAATAACAATATCTACATTTGAACACTGGAGATGATCATGCTGGAAGACAGTCCATAAGGCTCTGTCATTCTAGAAGCTTCAGTTGATCACCAACACTTAATTCCATCTTATGTTTCTTAAAAAAAAAAAAAAGTCTCACTTAAACTTTTATATAGGTGGCTTGCTGCATGCTTTGTGGAGCACAGCATAGACAAAACATGGTGATTTTGTTATGCAGGGAGTCTAAAGGATAAAGAAAGGGACTAAACTGTCTTTATAAAAATTAACAGTTGCTCAGCTGGACCAAAAAAAAAAAAGGTTAACTATAGAGAAAACCAAGTAACGATCACCACCTCCATCCTGCACAGAAGGATAAGAGGTTTTGATTAGATTAGGTTGGAATGCTTGGCCTACACCCAACTACACAACAGGTGCAGGATCCAAGGCTAAATTTATTCTGGATCATCTTTTCGGCCAACTCTTTTCCAACAGTTGAGTAAAAGCAAGGACTCTGCTTGCCCCAGAACCTAAACAGCTTGTATTCCACCAATGATCATCTGGTGATGTGTGGAGAGAAGCCTTGAGTTAATATAAGATTTTTTTTTAGCTGATCAAATTCCAAGCTTCGATAAACACATTCTGAAATTTCAGATTAACTTGTGGTTAATGTGCCTGTAAGCATTCCCTGATTTTATGTCTTTGGTATAAGAGCAGTGTTATTCTTGGACCACTGTTAATTAGAGATGAAGTCTTGGTCTGCGTATATGGGCTTTGCTCAAGGATCTAACACAGAAGTGTAGTACTAGGAGTCCTTTTCTATCTAAAGAAGTTGTGCAGAGATAACAGGAGAACCAGTTTGTTGGAGCTGTCCATGGAGCTACAGTCATGTCTGTGTTTTCTCACAGACTTAATAGCCAGTGACTCCTGGATATTCAGCTCTGCTCATCTCACTCATGCCCCCCACACTTCTCGCTTTTACCTTCTCAAATGGGTCACTGATGGACTAGTAAACATGACATTCAGGGATCCTTAATCTTCATGTGCATCTCAAATAGCCTGTGTGCCAGTGCACAGGCTATTCCACTGCACTCAAGGCATTCAATATCCCCCAAGTTTTTGTCTATCATATCTTATAACTGTACTTTGGTGGTGGGGTACATCAGTTAGTGTTCATTAAGGAAAAGGGCTGATAAACCTGGAGCACAGGCATCAACATTACAAATTTATAATGTCCTTTTATAGCGTTTCAACCATGAGATGAATGGATCCTTTTCCAAAGCCAGTTGATAGGCAAGTTTCCATGGCCTCATTGGTCAGACTGCCAAGAAAATGGCAGTTGGAGTTGGGGGGAGACCTGCTCAGTGATATCTTGACTACGGACAGTCAAGTCGTTTCAAAGAGAAACTGAACAGATGACTTAAAACCACCACCATACACATACCCCACCAAAAATTCAGAAGCAAGTCACCACCACACCTGCTTTCCATCACAGAATGTGACAGGAAAACGAGATGCATAACTTTCATTTCACTCCTCTACACAGACCCTCCACTGCCAGTATATCCAAAAGCAGGTTGTGTGGGATCTATCTGGCCCGTGCAGGGAATGGACGGATGGACATCTATATATCTTGAGATGCTTTAACTGGTCCCAAAGCCTCCCTCTTGCACTGTGGAAGAGCACAGCATAGGTTTTCTAGTCTTGAGCTCACTCCTTGCTCAGTCAAGCACCTCAACAATTTGTTTCTTCATAAGAGGTTACAGTAAAGTCAGTCTTGGCCTTATACTTACCCTAACAACATAGTTGAACCTTCTGGAATCCAGAATAGCGCTGGAGAAGTCAAGTCTATTGAAAGCTTCTCCCAAGGTACAGTAGCCGTGACGCTGAGAAATGAGAAGCACAAAGCTTTGTCATGTTTTAATGGACAGAGACAGGACTACATGGTCTAAACCAACATATCAAATTTATGGTCATAGGCAGAATAAAGTCAAAGTGGTTTCTTATATCCACTCCTCCCCATGCGTGCAATTGAATTGGCATGCAGTGCTTTTTCATGTTAGGAATGAACAGGGCAAAAGCTAAGAATGTTATTTGGTTTACCAGTAGGTAAGCAAAGTCCTTTTTTAAAGCATAGATAGCATTTTGCACAATAGAGGCCTGATCCTCAATTATGGCCTGTAATCATCCTTGCAAGACAAATAACAAGCCAGATCATCTAGTTCAGGGGTTTTCAACATTTTTTGAGGAGCATCCCATCCTGGCAAGTACCCCTTCTGGATATGGAGGGGGGAGGGGATCCCTCGGCAGCCAAACATGAAGCGGCAGCGGCACACGGCAGCCACACAGTGGTGGCGATGTACCTCCCGTTGACAACGTTGATCTAGTTGTTACAATTTTGCGATGCCGAAATGTAGCTCAAGAGGTCTGACCCATTAACAGTGTTTGGAAAAACCAGCATGGGGAAATAAAACAAGAAGGTACTCACTTCTTTTGTGCTTCCCTTGTGAACATATATCCATTTTTCTTGATGGAAGTCTGTTAAAAAAAAAGGAAGAGACACAGTTTCTTCAGTTAACGTATAAAAAGTTAACTCTGTAAAAAGATGAAGCCCAATTCTGGTCACATGCCAGTTCCATCATCTCCACTGGTATTAATTTTTTTGATGCAACCAGGATCACCATCAGGCCCTTCTGGGTTGCTTTGCTTCCCTAATCCTTTATCTGACAGAAGGAGAATCCTAGAAAGGGCATGCGTTTCACTAATACAGTCTAAGACTCTTTGTATTTAATAACCTACATACTGCAGATCTACCACAGCACCTCACTTGCTTTGCTCCCAGCCCGTAAGAGAGGCTTGCAGCCAGGTTTTGTCGTTATTGATTTTATTAAATATTCACTACCTTGGTTACAGTGTCTGGATTAAATGTCAAGTATAAAGTTGAGCAAAAATGTCACAAGACTCAGAGGCACTCTAGCATTTATAGTGGTGAGCCTAGGCATTCATAGAGGCCCACGAGAAACTGTTTTTACCTGCATGTAAAATTTTTTTAGGCCTGAATTTGCCATATTTTTGGCATCCCACTCAAACATGAATAATGGGAGTAAATTAAAAATACAAAAACATGAACATCTTTGCTCTCCTGCTTCGCATCATTTCCCAACACCTACAGGAGTTCAGGAACCCACTCAGCACTCTCCTATCCCATTCCCTTTTTCAATGCATTTTACAATGGCCATTTCTTAGCAAAGCTGTTTAAGGGTGAACCATGCTTTTATCTTCCCCTTACCTTTAAGAGTATCTTTAAAAGATAAAGGCAACTTTAAACCCTCAGCTTTTATCTTTGAAGATGGGATTCAGTGCAGAAGAGTACTACACGTAATGCAGCATAGAGGATGCAAATGCAGATGCCCTTATGTTAGGAAACAAAAGTTAAGGGACAAGTCCAAGTTTCCATTGCACATGTGCAGATCCTCAAGTCAGGCCTTTAAGTCAGTGACCAAGGTCAGGATCTGGTCAGAGATTGTCAAAGTAATGTTTAATTTTGTTTACACTGCAGACTGAATCAAACACACCTCTGGGAGTCAATTTTGGTAGAGATTACTGAAACCCTGGGGGTTGCAAGGTAGCCAACTGATGATTCTCATAATACTATTTCCTCTCTGTGCATGTGAAGTTTACAAATGTAGCCGTCAATGCTCCAGTCAGATCCAGGCAGACACTCATCTGTGTACTTTCCCCAGGGTCCACCCATACTGGGCACAGAGATAAGAACCCAAGTTGCACGTGCGCTTGAGTTAAAAGCTTTCACTATTTAGAGCAAGTCAGAATCTTCCCTGCCCTCCATGTGCTTTGCATGGCCAGCGAGGGCCCAAATTTACATTCAGGCTTATTGCCTCTGTTTGTATAAAATGTGTATAGGGAAGAGAAAGTAAAATTCAGTCTGCTGTGTGCAAGTCTACAGGGGGGAAAAAAATTGGAACTGGTTCACTTGAATGTACCATAGGAAAAAATTAGTCTTTTTCTGCCAAATACAAATGACAAAAATTTGAACACAACAAGCACGAACGCTTGGAGCAGGGATTAACAACAGGGGCATAAATCTTCATATTAAGAAACGTATCCAAGTTCTCTACTTAAGCCACACATGGGTGCAGAGACTCAAGAGGCTTCTGGAAGGCTTCTTGACATTTATGCAAGAATATATACACTGCAGCATTTTTCCCCTCCTCCAACAACTTGTTTTAAAAATACCCAAATGGCTGTCTTACACTGAATCTTGGTTTTGTTATTCAGCAGGTCCTTCTTTCTCTTCTTGGCAGCAACATCATAGCTCATGCCGGTGAAAAGATTCTCCTTATTGCGGTCCTCCTTTTTGCAGTAACTGTGAATGACAATGAAGAGATGCTGTTTATTTTGTGGTTTGGGGACTTTTTCTTTTTTTTTTTTTTTTAAATGCAAAAACTATTTTACTCTTCCCAGAAAACTGGTCTCTGTAAACTATGTGCATTTTTGCACCTACAAACAGTGCATTTTAGTGTTATTCTGGAAAGAACTAGAAGTAGGATTAGAATTCACAAACAAATAGTAACAATAATCCAAAGATATATTTTTTCATTGAGGGTTTTGTACCCTCCATGCTTAGATTTTTGTGGTAAGCAATACCTACACGCACAATGTACCTATATACGTTATACATACACACCTATAAAAACAGAAGCACACAAACAGCATGTGTCATATGATGAAATTCATGACCTTGAAGCACTCCTGCCCTCTTTAACCTTCTGCTTGTTTGACGTGGTCTCTTCCTACCAGCTGCTGAGGCTAACTAGGATTGCAACTCCTTCAGACAGGCTCATGCAAAGCACAATCCACACGCCTATGAAGATGCAGAACCAGAGTGCCCAAAGCTTTCACTCTGTAATGGCAGGCCATAATATCCTCATGCCAGTTAATAAAAGGGCTTTGGGAGGGGAACCGGACAACCAGCTTCTTCAAGATTTGAAATTTATTTTAAAGAGATGTGTTCCCAGCTTGTATGCTTGTAAACATAAGCAAACCACCAGCTCATGTTTGGATGGCTGTCTCCACAAGTCTGCAGACAGCTAACTGGGGGACACTAACAGCTGGGATCTCTGGCTAAATCATCTATTTAGAAAGGTTATGCATCCAGTTGTTTACTTGTACTAACCATGTAACAAAGGGATGCAACAAGCCAGGACAGGAGCTTTTATCATCTCAAAAACATACATCAAGTCAAACCTTTGAAGATACCCGTTGACTTCAATGGGATTTGGATCAAGCCTTTAAAATATTCTGTGCAACTCTATACAGTGTCAAGCAGCAGCATGAAATGGAGACGAAGGGACAGTGTCAGCACTGCTGTTCAGGACCCTGCAGGCAGCAGGGAGAGGAAAGTCTCACGTCACCGTAAGCAGCAGTGGAAAAGCCACTACACCAGAGTCAGAGTTGGTGCCAGGGACAGCAGAGACACCCTGGCAGGTGGCTCGAGGAAAGGCAAACAAATGCCCCATCTGGCGGGATACAAGCTGCCACGGGGAAGGAGGGAGGTTTTAGAACTGTCCTATTTGAAAATCCAGTCTTGTTCCTTCTCTTTGCTTTGTCACCACTGCTATTCAGTCCTGCACCTTTGCACCTGTCCCTGCTCCTAGTCAGGTGCTAGACTCGTGACTGTTACAGGGCTCAGATAAGAGCTTTGCAATATGCCCCGAGTTTCCTGCCCGAGAGGCGCATAAATAAGCAGTCTTGTCTGAGTAGACAAAGATGTCAGGCTGCTTCCTGCCCTACGTAGTTCATGCTTAACCGTTACAGAGCGTGCTCTAAGGGCTTATCATTTCAAGATATTTTACATTATCTCAGAAGAGAAGAAAACGCAGAGAGGATCTCTCTAAATATAGGTCTGCTGGCCGTATCCCTTTTCCTAAGCTTGCTTGCAACTGGGGGGGGGGGGGGGGGTTAGTAGGAGGTCACACGAACATGGGGAAGGTTTGCTATCAGCTACTCCAAATTCCACAGCACTTGGCTGTGCAGCAAGACCAAGTGACAGAAGCTTCCTCTTCTTCCATGGGTCAGTTCGGAGCTACGCGATTAACATTGTGCATTCAAACTCTTACTCCCAAAGCAACATCTTCCTCTAGCAAACCACAGGAGGGGGAGGGGCTCTATCTGGACACATCCATACTGGTCCAGAGTGGGTCCAACAGTGGGAAGAGGAACTCCTCCAGGAACCTGAAGCATCAGTAGGTTGAACACAGAGGAGGGGAAAGAATTGGTGGCTCCCCACAACCACTCGGGCACTAAAAGCTCTCTCAGAGCCCACCTCAAAGCCCTGCACTGCTTTGTTTTCCTCCTAAGCTTTCCAGCATTTTAAGTGAAGAGCAGAGCTAATGACCCCCTCGTGGGGTCTTCAAGGGGAAGTTGGATAGATATCTGACTGGGGTATTATGATCCCAGCACTCGTTCCTGCTCAGGGCGGGGGGGGGGGGGGGG